CCCCAAAACCCCAAAACCCCAAAACCCCAAAACCCCTATTACATCACGCTAAATTGTAATTTAAAAGATTTAAATATGAAAGGAAAACTCAATAAAGGATTTGGAAAGCAAAAAGAAGGCTTTGATGCCTTTGGAAATACAACAGGAGGAGCAAACATTGAAGCAGCCCTCAAAAGAGCAAAGACAACAGGATCACTTAATCTTCAGGGAAGGGGACTCAGCGTATTTCCTGAAGATATCTGCAAATTTAGTGACCTGAGGCTCCTTGATAACTGGTGGGAAAGCTATGAGTTAACTAAGCTAGACATGGCAAATAATTCAATTGCTTCTATTCCTTCAGAACTTTCTACTCAAGAGCAGCTATTTTATCTAAATTTTAACTCAAATCTGTTGGAGGAAGTTCCCGGAGAGATATTCTCATTAGTCTTAAAGTTCTTTGATGCTAGTCATAACAAGTTGAAGATTCTTCCAGACATGATTGGATCGTGCAACAGTTTGGTTGAACTTCACCTTGCAGGAAATCAAATCTCTGAATTGCCCTTTACTTTTGGCGGGCTTGAAAACTTAGAAGTACTGGATCTAAAAAGAAATGATATCGAATATCTCCCTAAATCCCTTTCTGGGTGAGTCAAGTTGAAGAAGCTAGATCTGTCAGAAAACAGCTTGACAAAGATTCCAGAAACCATTGGATTCTGTGAGATGCTTACTGATGTAAACTTCAGTAAAAACCATATTGAAAATATTGAGCTTTACAGTCTTGAAAGACTCTCAAATCTAGTATTGCTAGATCTTCACCAGAACAAGTTGACATATTTTGAATCAGTACCAAAATCTACTAAGTTGGATACTATCATTCTTGGGTTCAACTTTATTGAAGAGATAGCTAATCTGCATAATGCTCCTAATCTCACAGTCCTGGATTTGCATAACAATAAGATGGAAGAGCTTCCTGAGACAATTTTGGATATGGATATGCTCAAGACCTTGAATATCAGCAACAATAATATGAATAATCTTCCACCAAGATTAGCTCTTCTTGATAATTTAGTACGAATCCAAATTGAAGGAAATCCTTTAAAGTCAATCAAATCTTCGATGAGAATGGCCAAAGCCCCAGATCTGAAAAATTATCTGAGACTCAGACTTGATGTTAAAGAAGAAGAGAAGCTAGAACGTAAGAAGGCTCAAGATAGGCAACTCCCAGGAGCATCTTCTAGAGCAGATCCTTGGGAAATTTATCTTCGTGAATATTTTCACAATAACCAACTGATTTTGCAGAGAAAGAGTGTATTGAGCATCTCCCCTATCTTATGGGATTATGATGAGCTAACTCTATTGGATCTCAGTCATAACGAAATTACTTCTATCCCAGAAGAGATCCATCACTTATCAAATCTTTTGTCATTGAGACTTAGCCATAATAAGCTCACTAGTTTGCCAGAATCTCTCTCTCAGATGGCAGGACTAAAAGAGCTAGAGATTGGTGATAATCCTAGCTTAGGAGGATTTTTCACAGATAAATCTATTATCAGATTGGAGTCATTATCATACTTAAATCTCAGTAACACAGGATTAACTGCAATTCCTCTAACACTCAAGAAGTTGCCGAACCTTGCGACTCTTCATCTCAGTCATAATAATATCACTGACATTAAGGAACTCTGTAGAGAAGAGTTCACTGGTCTTAAAGTCCTCGACCTCTCTCTTAACAAAGTGACTGAAATCCCTAAGGCATTTGCTTATTTCCTAATTGAGCTGAACTTCTTGAACGTTGTGAACAATGAACTCAAAAGACTGCCTCACAACCTTGGATTCCATAAGACCCTTAAGACTGTCCAACTTGATGGAAACCCTCTGAAGTCCATCAGAAGGGCTATTATCGATGGAGGCTCAGCCAGGCTTCTGCAGTACCTTGCTGATAAGTACACTGAGGAAGAAGATGGACAGATTGAAGAATGGGCTATTAGAAAGAAGGGAGCAAAGAAAGGAGCAATGAAAAAGGCTGCACAAGAAGAAGAGAAATATCAAAAGGATTCTCAAGCATCTATTTATGAGAGACAGACCCAAGAACCAAAAGTAGCTGGGCTGAAGAAGAAAAGCCATCATATTTTTGAGCAGAGTGATCATATTGGTGATAAAGCCAAGGATGCAAGGAAAGGAGATCATGAAGAAATACATGGATTTAAAGATCCGAATAAGATGTATGCTGATCGCTATGGAGCTTCACAGCCGAAAGAGGATTTCTTCTGGGGTAGCCATCAAAGGGAGGTTGATCATCAGTATCAATCATCTCATCCTTCGGCACACCCACCTGCTCCAATACCTGAAGTTCCTAAAGCTAGTCATGATCCTTTCCCTGAAGAAGCGGTATCTACAGAGTCTCAAAGAACCAAGAAGGATATGATTGAAGAGTTAAAGATTCTTGATGACCAAATCAGACAACTAATAGATGACATTGACAATAACTTTTCTCTCTCCAAAAGGGATATCCAAGAAAGAAGAAGAGAACTGCATAAAGTCCAGGCTCAAAGAAATAAGCTAAATAATGATATTGCAAGTTAGGTCAGTATAAAATTTACTTACTCAAAATTAAGAAGATTGGTCGGAATCCACAATAATGTTGGGAATATTCCAAATATTTACCTTAGATTAGCATCCATACATCGAACAAACTCTCTTTCTTCTTTATATACTTGGATTGTGCCATAAGGATACCGATAGAGAGCTACAACATCAAATATGGAGAAACATAGGTTTATATGAATTTTATTGAAACAATTTTATTTTAGAGGGAAGGGGTTTTGGGGTTTTGGGGTTTTGGGGTTTTGGGGTTTTGGGG